GGGGCAGAGCTCCGGGGACAATCTGCCCTCCACACCTAGGGTCGCGGACAAGCGCGCTCTGAGCATGGTGGTTGGAAATCTTGATGCGCTGGAGAACCTCGAGAAGGTCACGGCATGGCTGCATGACAAGCTCGCTGACATGGGCGGGCCTGCGTCAGACAAAATCTACTCCAAGGGGGAGTTCAAGGGCATCCTATTTGCCGAGTTCCCCAGCCGGGCTTCCCGAGACAACGCAGTCGATCTTCTACGTCGGGCTAGCCTCAGGAGTGGGGAGAAGAATGTTTGGGCTAGCCAGGACCGTTCGCCAGCGGACCGGGCAGCTCGCAACTTTTGCCTGGGGCTCAAACGAGTTCTGAAGGATGAGTGGTCGGTGCCGTACAAGGTGTCCGTGGACGGCGATTCCCCCTACCTCGTAATTGTCGGAGGGGAGCACGTTCTCACAGCTAGGGTCGACGGCTTCAACGTGATCTACGACTGGCAGGGGGCGTGGGCTACGTGGGACACGTTGCACAACAACCCCCGCATCCAGGAGTTGAGCCAGAAGTCACGCGAGCTCTTGGCCCGGGCGTCCCAGGGCATGACGGGAGGGAGCGCCGGAAAGGGGATGCAAAAGGGTGCCGGAAGGCGCCCGGATGAATAGGAAACGGCCCCCAGCCTAGTTTCACCGGCAGTCGGCACTACTGCCAATATGAACCCAAATCGATTAAGAATTCAGTCCGCAACATCGCAGACCACATGTACATACACATGCATCCCAAGTACTAGCCTTGGTTGCGGGAGCCCTGGCTTTCGAGGTGGGCTGCTGCACCCATGTAGACATATTGAGACAATTTGTGGCCACGGCGACAACTCTGTAATTACATATCACCGTGGTGGACAGCTACAACCTTGCGGAGTCGATGTCGCAATAGGATCGTGGAATGTGGAGGGGATGGCTGAGACAAAATTGGTTGAGCTTCAAGAACACATGAGCGCACTCGATATCGACATCCTCGCCCTCCAGGAGACGCACAAGAACGAGTCGGTGCATAGCGTTACTGACGCCGGGTATCTGTTTATCCTTTCCGGGGACCCGGACGACGAGGAGTCCGCCGGCGTTGGCTTCCTTATCTCGCCCCGGCTCCGTAGAAGCGTCATTGGCTTCAAGTTGGTGTCGTCCCGGATCGCGCTCGTGAAGCTGAGGGTCAAGGGCGGGAAGGTGCCAATATTCAGCATTTACGCCCCTCATAGCGGAAAGTCTTTTGAAGCTCGGCAAGATTTCTATAGCAATTTGCACGGTGAGTTACGTGCTATTTCGGGGAGGGACCGGGCGCTCATTCTGGGAGATTTCAACGCTAGGCTTCATAGAAAATTTGCTTCCGAGGAACAGCATTTAGGTGAATACATATTCGGCACGCCTACGGCGCAGTAGAACCCATCCTCCAACCGGAGCCTCTTGCTGGAGCTGTGCGGCAAGAACGATTTGATTGTCAGTAATACTTTCTTCGAGCACCCGCCAGAGCTCCAGATTACATGCCACAACATTGGGTCGCAACCCGGGGACCCAGCAATGCCGGGACATTTTGGGCAGATCGATTTCTTGTTATGTTGCGAGCGGTACGCTTTTGGGTTCAGGATGTGCGGAGTTGCAGGGGTGCGGCATTGGCCTCGCACCATTTTCTTATCATATGCCGTACCTGTCTTGCGATGCCCAAGGCGAGTAATAATCGCGTCCACAAGCCGGACTTGTCTGCACTCGTTTCTGGGCAGATGGAAGAGGAGTTCTGCGAGTGTTTCTCCAAGCGCATGGACGGTGGCAAGGGCGCAGAGCAGCCCCTCGATGACCTGACTTCGGACATCGTCGAGTCTTTTGCCTTTGCGGCCAGCGCTTGCATGCCGACGGTGTCGGCGACGAAGCGCCATCCATGGATTAGCGAGTTCACTCTGCAATTGATCCAATTGCGGAACCTCGCCCGGGCGAAGGGAGACTTCCCGGCAGAGAAACGTCTGCATGGCCGGATCAAGGCTTCTGTCAAGAGCGACAAGAGCCGACGGCTGGACGATCGCCTTGCGCATGGTGATTGGAACGAGGTGCGGAAGTTGAGATATAGCAGGTCTGCCACCCCAGGCCGGATGAGGGACGCACGTGGGCAAAGTGTGCACAGCGACCAGCGGGCAGAGACTTTGGCAGAGTACTTCGCCAAGGTGCAGTGGGCTGCGCGCCCTACGGCAGCAGTCGATGAGCCTGATCCTTTGGGCCGGGCGCTCCCAGTCGCTCTGGGGCCCATCGCGGAAGAGGAGGTGTATTCGGCAGGCCGCGCCCTCATGCGCAACAAAGCCCCGGGCAAAGACTGCGTGCCAGCCGAATTCTGGAAAACCGTATGCAGACGGAGCACGCCGGCTTGCAAGTGGGCAGTGCTCTTGTGCAACCTGTGCTGGACAGAGGGATCCGTGCCCGAAGCATGGCATGAAGCAGTGGTAACAGCAATATTCAAAAAAAGCGACGTGGCGGACTGCGCCAATTGCCGGCCGATGTCGCTCCTATCCATCGGTTACAAGCTGTACGCTTCGATTTTGCTTTCTCGTCTTAAGCAGGCGAGCGCAGGGAACCGCATCTCGGACACCCAGTTCGGCTTCCGCTCCGGCCGCGGGACGACGGACGCGATGTTCTATGCCAGGCGGTTGATCGAGAACGTGTTAGACACGCAGAACGGGAGATTGATTTTGCTGGCGCTGGATTGGGCGAAGGCTTTTGATAGCGTGTCACCTGAGAGGCTTGTCCAGGCGCTAGTGCGTTTTGGGGCGCCGGCGCAGTTCGCTGCAGCAGTCAAATCAGTTTACACCAACCGTCGCTTCAGTGTCCGAGAAGCCGGAAACACTTCTGAGACGCGAGCGCAGGAGTTTGGAATATCTCAAGGATGCCCTTTATCACCTTTCCTGTTTTCCATCATCATGGCCGTCTTGATGCATGACGCCAAGCGCCGCTTCGCGCAGACTGGCCTCCAACAACACCCAGGCTTCCCCATCAGTGAATTGGTGTATGCCGACGACACCCCTTTAGTTGGCGCAGACGAGGACTACGTACACAAGCTGATGGAGTGCGTGCGGCGGGCCGGGGAGCAGTATGGACTGGCATTCAACTGGGGGAAATATGAGATTTTGTCCGTGAGCTGCCAGACAGCGATGGCGACGCCAGACGGCAAGAAAATCTTACAGAAGACTCATCTTGTGTATTTGGGAGGACTTCTCAGCAATGACGGCAGTGCCGGCCCCGAGCTCAGCAGGCGATTAGCCATGGCCAGCAAGGACTTTGATGAATTGTGTCGAATATGGAAGCACGTGAGAATGAGCTTGCAGAAAAAGGTGCGCATCTTCGAGTCTTGCGTGGTTTCGAGGCTGTTATATTGCCTACACACCATCTGGCTGAACAAGGCGGAGCGAAACATATTGGACGCATTCCAAGCACGATGCTTGCGGAAACTGTCCGGCACCCCGCACTCCTACATCAGCCGGGTGAGCAACGCTTCCGTGCGGCATACGTGCAGAAGCCATGCTTTAAGTTCTCTCTTGTCCTACCGCCAACTCGCACTCATAGGTGACATTGTCCAGCTCCCAGACGGCAGCCCAATCAGGAGGTGTATCTTTGAGCCCGGCACCGCCGATTTGGCCCGCCCGGGCGGGCGCCGCAAGCGTGGCAGACCAAGAAATACGTGGACGCGTTGTGTTTTTAGCATGGCGTGCGAATTAGCTGGCGGCAAAGACGCCCTGCGCCAGATATGGCAGGAAGGCCGGATGGCATGGCGCGCCCGCGCAAAGCGCTTCTGCCTTCAGCCACTATAGCTGTTCAGTCCCCTTCTTCCTCCTCCTCCTCCTCCTCCTCCTCCTCCTCCTCCTCCTCCTATGCTTAGCACGCTTGCCGTTTCATCCAATTGTCTAGTCTGTCTCACATCTTCTGCCAATGCACCTATGTTGTGCATGGCGTCTGTCTGTCTGTCTGTCCCCTGGCCCCCTGAACTTTTTTTTTTATCGCTGTGGTTTACTATCCACGGAAACCGAGGCACATGAGGCACCCTACACGAGCAGATGAACATCTTAATTTCCATGTTTGTTTACAACTTAAATTTAATAGGTTTGGAACTTTGATTTTTCTCCTCCTCCTCCTCCTCCTCCTCGCTCTCTCTCTCTCCTTCTGTCTGTCTATATTTCTCTACTTTTCTCTCTTTCTCTCTGTCGAACTATCTGTATCTGTCTGTCTCTGTCTCTATCTGTCTTCCTCTCGATCCTCGACTTTGGGATCTCGATCCTCGATCATCGGACTTCGATTCTCGATCCTCGATCCTCGGCTTTCGGTCCTCTTAACATCATCTCTTTCTCCTCCCACATTCTGGCGTCCGGTAGGCAAAATTTCTCATCCTCCGCAACCCCGAACTTTATTATCCCTGTGGGATTAATCTCGGCAGCACAGGGTTAGTTATTTAGCACTCCGCATTTGCGGATCAGAGTGAGGGGGCGGGCGCGGGGTGGGTCGCGGGTGCGTCGCGGGCGAGTCACGGCTGGATCGCGGGGTGGGTCGCGGGTGGGTCGCGCGTGGGTCGCGGGTGGGTCGCGGGGGGGTGGGTCGCAGGTGGGTCGCGGGTGGGTCGCGGGTGGATCGCGGTCTGGGTCGCGGGCGGGACGACGACAACAAACAACAAACAACAGCAATCCGCGCCGCTGAAACCCACTTCAGCCACGCACCCAGGGACAGTGGATGACCGTTCGCCCCCTTCAATATGAGATACACTTGTCCATGTATACAATCTACACACCTATAGATACACGCGTACATATACATGTACACATATGGTAAAACCTTCATTTGTACATATACATACACGTGTATAGATATGCACATACCCATCGGCGCACACAAACTTATATATGTGTATGCACACACCTGCATCTGTGTCTACATATATGCAGTACATGTCATGTGTCTCCCATCCTCTGCTGCTCCTCGTTCTCTTCGCCGCCGTCGGCAGGCGAAGGAGGCTAAAGCCAAGGCCGCGGAGGAGGCCAAGAGCAAGGTCGGGGCCCGCCAGCGCGCAGGAGGGGGGAGGGGCAGACCTGTTGGGGCGCGGCCTCCCCAGATGGCGGGGGGCTTCGTAGATGTGTGTGAAATCCGTTCATATCACCTTTCGATCCATCGATCCTGCTACCGTCTCGGCTCAGGTATTGGACACTGGACAGTCCTTTCAGACAGGACTCGCGCCGTTCACCCGCGGCGGATGGGAAAAGGGATCTCTCCTTTCTTCCTAAACGTCCTCTACCAACGGACATCTCAGTAGGGTCGACTCTTCGGTCGTTAACCTACACCCGCAGCAGACGCCCATCCTGCAGGGGGCAGCGGTACATAGGGGGGGATCGGCTCAGGGAGGAGGTTTGCTTTCTGGGCTCTATCCCTGCTTTCACACAGTGGCGAAGCGTCCTAGCTCGCCTATGGGCCTACCAAAGAATGTGATAAGAACTTGTTGTAGTCTGCACGAAATGTTCTTCGAACACTTCTGGCTGAGACAGTTTTGTTGTAACGCATGGGGCTTATGCTCTAAGAATATTGTTTTCGTTCTTAGAGCATTTTTGGGTTCGAAGAACATCTCGTGGTAGGCCTTATAAAAATGCCGGGACGGTCGGACCCTGCTCAATGCTTCGTCGCCGTAGTAGGTCGGGACTGGGGCCTTGTGTGTCGGGTAGGGTGACGGCGTGGGCGGCGTGCCTTCGGCTGAACCCCTGCGCTTCGCCACGCTGGAAAGATGGCTCCTCCCCTCACCTTCTGCACCGTGCGCAGGGTCCGAAATCTCTGTAAGCTTCGAGGCCTGGGGTGGGTCCCATCGGCTGCGCCTCGTCGACAGCGTTCCCCGGGGGTGAATTGGGTCGTCCCGAACGGCTGGCGGAAAGCTGAGCTGCGGCACTGAAGCCAGGGGGCGACGACAGGGGGAGGAGGGGAGGAGGAGGAGGAGGCGGAGGCGGAGGAGGAGGACCAGTGCAAACCCAAGAGTCATCAACGATGTTGGAATAAACCCTCCATCCAAGTTCCCTCCTCGCAAGCCCCTTACAAGGGTTCATTTCCACTGAGGGAACTGCTACGGTGGAAGACAACCATTTTGAATATTCGGACGCATGCCAAAACATTGTTCTCGGGATTCCAACGCCACGGATCAACCCGACTGTTGCGTTTTGACGATCCTGAATCGTTCCAGAACGCCGTTCTTGGGACTTCAACGCCGCGAATCAACGTAACTGTTGCGCCTTCATTATCATGAATCCAGCCAGCGCGCATTTTCTGGTACGCTTATCATGGGAATCTGTGAAACTCTGGCAAATTGTTGAAACGAATGTGCGCGGCGCTAGGGCGAGAACCACCTTTTGAAAAGGAACCGCCCTCAATCCGTGAAGTTTTTGCGAAATGGTTAAAACGAGTGTGCGTGGCGCTAAGGCGAGCCACATTTTGAAAACGACCCGCCCTCAATATTTTTGCAACTTATGTGGGCGGCGCTAAGACGAGAGCCACATTTTGAAAACGACCCGCCCTCAATCCGTGAAAGTCTGATATGTGCGGCGCTAAAACGAGAGCCACATTCTGAAAACCACCCGCCCCGCGCCGCTCCGGGCGACCCAGCCCGGATTCGGCTCCGGCGCCCCCGCGATCCGGTGCGGCCCGACGCCTGCTCGGCGCCGTCGTGGCTCTTGGGGTGCGGCCGATCCGAGGCGCCGCCGAGAGGCCATCCGGGGGGGGCACTCGCCCCTGGGCGGTGGCGCGCCGGAGCGTCGGGAGGAGGAGGAGGAGGAGGAGGAGGAGGAGGAGGAGGAGGAGGAGGAGGAGGATGGAGGGTCCGGCACGGGGCGGCGCTCGGGCGTGCCGCCGCCCGGGGGGCGGCCGCCCCTTGGTGGGTTCTCGGTGGCGGCGCTCGTCCCGGGCCCTCGGCGTCACGGGCGTCTCGTGGCGCGGGCCCCGAGAGGTCTGGGCTTCTGTCGGGCGTGTCCCCCTGTAGGGGGATTTTCGACGAAACATAGAAGATACCCCCCCCCCCCAAAAAAAAAACCCAAAGGCAAACAAAGAATTAAAGCATAATCCCCAGACATTTTTTTTTTTTGTTGTTTCTTTTTTTTTTCTCCTCTTCTCTCACATATATGTGTATACATATAATATTATAATATATATATATATATTATATATATTTATGCCATGTGTATATATATTAAACATTTTGGGGTAATTTTTTATGGTTCGGTCGAAAATCCCCCTGTAGGGGGACAGGCCCGACTTAAGTCTGGGCCCCTTGCCTGGGAGGGCTCTCCTCGACGGGAGCCGTTCCTCGACGGCCCCACAGGGCCCAGCGAGGGCCCCCAGGCAGAGGGCCGAAAGCAGCGAGACCCCCCCCGCCGTTTTTTTTTCACGACGCTCGGGTCGGGCGAAAGGGGGGGATTGGGAAAGGGGGGGGTACGAAATTTGCTGCATGCAGCTGGTTTCGGCCTCTCCGAGGGGCCCATTCCTCGATACATAGCCGCCTCCGGCGCCGGGAGGCGCCGGGGAAATCAGCTACGTGAGCTGATTCTCAAACCCCCCCTTTGCTATCCCCCCCCTTTCGCCCGACCCGAGACGCGAGGGGGTTCTGGGTTTCTCTTTCCGCTCCGAATCTCGACCTCGTTCCGATGCTGCCCGATCCGACGCCCGCCGGCCGATCCTGCATGCAGCGAGGCCAAGGCGGAGGGCGCGGATCCTGCGGACGGCGAGGAGGACGAACTCCAAGCGCTGGTCCTGCGGATGAGGCCATGGGCAACGATAGTGGGGGGGATTGTCTCGGGGGGAGGAGCACCGATCGGCCCCCACTCGCCTGCTCGTCGCCGATGGTCAGGGGAGGGGGGGACACCAATACCCCTGCTTGTCCTGGAGAAGCCTCGTGGGCATTGTACCCCTTTTTCCGCACCCACATCGGGCGTCCGAAGATTCCAGACATGCGACGTCCTGACTTTTTGTAAATACGGGGTCCCTGGAAGTCTCGACCCATTCCCCGGGACCAGTTTTTCATCGCATCGCATCGCCGGCGGCATGAGAGCTGTCTGAGGTATCACGGGGCGCCTTCACGCCTCGTGGCAAGCATCCGGACGCCTGCTGTTGAAAGCTGTGGCCGAAAAAAATTGATGTCATCATGGTGAAATCCATGAGTTTACGCTAAGGCCGATGGGCTCTGCAGCAGCACTCGGGATGCCGCGTGGCCGGCGCCCTCGTCCCCCGAGCGGCTCGCGGCCTGCATCTGTGGGAGAGGGCCTCGAGGCACCCACACCATCACTTAAAGAGTTGACCCTTAGGCGGCACACTCGAAACCCTTTCCCCCCCCCGTCGCCTCCAGAGCAAACTCAACCAGGGGGACAATCCTGGCCAAGACGCCCTGGGGGTGTGAAAAAACGTGCCAGCACCTCACACTCAAGGCTCATAGACGTCGTGAACTCATTGGTCATCTGCTGCAAGACCGTCAGCTGCTTCTCCAAGGGCATCATGCCAGCAAGTTCCAATAGTTTGTTACGCTGCATGGCCTCCTGGGCGGAAGCACCTTGGATCTTAGCGTAGTCTTGAGTCTTTACACCGGTTTTTCATCCCGAGTCGTTTTTGATGGTTCCGAGGCCCAGCGAGGGCCCCCAGGGGCCGAAAACGCCCCCAAACCGCCCGTTCTGATTTCTTTACGACGCGATCACGTCTGGATTCTCCTTCTCCTCGAAGTCCCTCGTCAGCACGCACCCCGAGGTCCAGGGAGCAGCGGTATCGGGATATGTCTTCTGGTCTCCCCGGGTTGGGGCTTGGACAGCCCACCCCACCCAGGAGCGTGCGATGTCTGTTGGACGAAAAACGAAACATAGTCCAAACATATTCAAACAATGTTCAAACATAGTCAAACATTCGTCCCCAGATTATTGTTTGACTAATCTTGAACATCCCTCTTGTAGAGGGACATGCCCGACTTGACCCCACTGCCAACCCGCATGGCAAGGGTGGACAACCTTCCCAAGAGTACCCTTGTATCCTTGCCTCCTCAGTCCATCCGTGGCCACTTTCGGTGGCCGCGCCCCGTTGGAAAACTTCGAAATGGGCGTCCAAGGCCCGTGTATCCTCGTCGCGCACCCTTATGGTACGGGCCGACGCGTATCAGCAGATCTGTCGGCGATGCATCGCCGATTCAGGCTCGATGCCCCCCCCCCCCTCTCGAGCTGGTCCCCTCCCCGGTCGTTCGCCTCTCATGAGGTCCTTGGACCCCGAGGGCCGCCGCGAGCTCCTCAAGACGCTGACCGCGGAAACGAAGGCGCTCGGAGGGCACTGGCTGACATGCACCTGCGCCGGCCCCCTGGCCGGGCTGGCCGCAGGGCCCGTGTCGGGTATAGCCAGGACCCCAGGTAAAGGGACCCAGTGAGTAGTAGGGCCCCGGAATCCTTGAATTGGCCAGAATCACTACACCAGGTCTGCCGTAGCTGGTGTTTTTTCGGGTGACGGCAGTTCCGGTCAGCGGAACGGGGCGGGGGGGAGTCGTCCCCCAGTACACATCACTAAACCAGGTTCCAGTAAACCCAGTTCTGCCAACGCCCGACCGTAGGCGGCGAAGACATTCCCTGTGATCCTGGCGAGTCCATTTCTGCGAGCCGGGCGTTGCCCCCTTTTTTGGCGGGCCCTGGGGCCCTCACAGACCGATCGGACTCGGAAAATGACTCAGCAGAGTGGGGTCTGCTCCTGGATGTGGCAATCGGCAATCATCTTCCCTCCCTTGAATCCGCGGGGGGGGTTGGGCACGGGCTTGCGGCACTGGTGGAGGGGGGGGTGGAGGAAGAAGGGGAGGAGGGGGAGGAGGACGGGAGGGGGCGGGATTGGGCAAGCTCCAGTCCGGAGGTGAATCACCCCTCCTTGATAAATACCCCTATGCAGATCGACTGCACGTAGGAGTGACCCTTCGCCGGAGTGACCTTTGGGTGCGGGCTCGCATGGGTCCCCCCCAGCATCGGCCAACACGCTTGGACTTGGCCTCATCGCGGCCCATGGAAGCCGCGCGCCACAGGTTGCTCTTGCCCAGGGTCGCTCTTACGTGTGGCCGAGCAGCGCAGGGCTCCTGGCGTGATTTGTTGCGGAGTTGCACTTTTTTTTCGACGGGTACTGCGCGGTCTCTATCCCAGCTACAGCTTTAGTCTGCGGGCGGAGTCCGAAAGCATTCAAAGACCTCACCATTTGAGGCGGATTTAACTCACGATTTAAACTACTACAGTTCCAGTCCTGCTGGTGTGAGTCCTTGTTGAAACAAATCAGGAAGGGAAAAACACGCACACACAGACACAATTAATCGTCGATTCCCAGGAAAATATGGGAAAATATGGGAAGTGGGGGCGGAGACAAAAACCAAGAAAATACAGGAAAATATGGGGCATATGTTTATTTGTGTGTATTGATTTGTGTGTCCCAGGGCCCCTCCCCGCTCGGGCCGGGACGGGCTGCGCGTGCAGCTTCCGCTGCGTGCCGTGTCGGCGCGGCGCCGCGGCGTGAGGAGGAGGCGGAGGAGGAGGAGGAGGAGGAGGAGGAGGAGGAGAGGAGGGGGAGGTGGGGGGAGGGGGATGGGGATAGGAAGGGGAGGAGGAGGAGGAGGAGTGAGGAGGGTGAGGGGAGGAGTGGAGCAGGAGGAGGATGAGGGAGGAGGATAGGGGAGAAGAGCAGGAGGAGTAGGAGGAAAGAGAGGAGGAGGAGGAGTGAGGTGAGGAGGAGGATGAGAAGCACAGGAAGAGATGGCGTGCAGGAGACGGATCAGACCGCCGGTGGCACCCGGGTGTCGTCCGATGATGGAACGAGCCGTCAAGTCCGAAGGCCGCCGAGCGCCCAGAGGGAGGTCGGCATGTCCCTATCTTCTGCAGGGAGAAAAAGTTTCTCTTATCTTCTTTTTCGTTCTTCTTTCTTCTCAGGAGGGACAGAACACATACACAATGAATCGGTAATACGGGTCCGTCGGTTCCCCTGAACATATGGAAAATAGGGGGAGTGGGGGCGAACACAAAAACCAAGAAAATATAGGAAAATATGGGACATCATTTAATATGTGTGTATTTATTTGTGTGCCCCTAGGGGTAAGTCTCTAGGCCTCCTAGAGGGGGTCGGAGTGGCTGGGGTCGGAGGATCGCGCCGCATCGTCGGTGCATCGCCGATGCGGCTCGATGTGCAGCCCGATCTGCTCCACGTCGGCGTCGCCGATGCCTCGCCCCCGTCGACGATGCATCGCCGGTGCATCGCCGGTGCATCGCCGATGCATCGGCGATGCATCGCCGATGCATCGGCGATGCGGGGCGATCCTCCGACCCCATCTACTCCGACCCCATCTAGGAGGCCTCTAAAATCGGGCATGTCCCTGTGCAGGGAGGAAGATGCGAGACTATAAAAAACAGTCTGGGGACGATTTTTGTCGATCCTTTTTTTGAGTCTTGTTGCATGTTCGTTGGGGTATTTCTGATCTGTTGTTCAAGTCCGCCTGGAGGGGGACACGCCCGACCCAATTCGGGGGAGGGGGGAAGGCTTCTTAGAAGCGCCCCGCGGGCTTCGTCTATAGATGTGAGGCCGGGCCCTTCTAAGAAGCAGCCTGCTTCTGAGAAGCCCTCTTCCCTCCCCCTACCCCATTGTGCGCGCCGCCAAGGTTGAGCGAACCATGCGGTGTCAGCTGCCACGACACGAACCTGTCGTACACTGATCCTGGGCCCAGGACCCAGAGATCCGGGGCCCCCAGAAGTCTTGATCCCCAGAAGCATCGACCCCCTCCGGGGGACAGGCGTCTCCTCTCAGGTCGTTTTTGACGGTCTCGGGAGGCGCGGCGAGGGCCTCGAGAGGAAGAAAACGGTGAACACTCTCCGTTTTGTTTTTCAATGCGCTGGATCTTCGGGGATAAGCCTGGTCTGGGGTGTTGCTAGAAGTGCCCCTGGCCCAAGGTGCCCCCAGGACTTCCATGGAGGCCCCCACGGCCTCCAGAGCACCCCTCGCGAGGCCCACAGGGCCCCAGGGGCTGCAGAGTGGGGCGAAAATCTCGGGGCACCTTGTGTCAGGGGCACCTCTAGCAACCCCCGATGGTCAGGATCGGTGTGCAGGTGTACAT